TCTAATGAACAATTGGTTTGTGGTCCAACCAGTAAACTGAATCCCTCTCAGGCCAATGAGAGGGTGGGGTCCCTTGTTCAAGACCTGGAGTCAGTACTTAAGGGAACTACCTCTCTTCTATCCCTAAAAGTGGGTAGGAGTGAATTCCATTTTGCACCCCACGTCCCCAGCCATTTACCCAGTCTTACCCCTGAAATGGGAGGCCTATTGACTCGGCGAACTTGAGCCACTCTCACCCATGCAAATCTAAGGATAATTCCGAATAAACAGGAGTTCATGGTTAGCTCAGGATTAAGATCGAGTTACCTAGGTCATCGAATGAAAAGAAAATCAGTCTCAACAGTAAACGAGATTGTAAAGTGAGCGTGATTTTCTTCATGGTCCGATCTTATGCAATACTCATTGCATAGGACGCCCCCACTCACATGTCTCCACATGTACAATTTAATGATCACATTGTTTTTATCATATACAAAAGTGGGCTGCATCCATAGTGTCCGCAGAATAATAGAGCTAAAACGTCTTGGATGGAGTTGCCCAAGAAGTCAATTTCTCTGTTTTTTTTGGGTGAGCTGTAGATTGAGAAGAATTTTTAGACATTAAGGTCACACACTTAAAATATTAGTTCAAACAAATTCATTTAACTAGAAGAAAATATTAGTTTTTTTGACCAACATTGGAGGCAAATAACTTAGGCTACAATCCACGAGGAGGTACGAAGTCAATCCCAAGCTCTTCCTTGTAACACTATCTTTAAGTTTCAAGAAGAAATCAAGGGGAGCAATGTTATGATGGGACATGGCGAGATTAATGCTACATACTTAAAGATGTTTGTTCAAACCAACTCATTTAATTAGATGGATGTAATAGCCCAAAAAAAAAAAAAAATAATAATAATAAAATAATAAAAATAATAATAACAATAATGATAATAATAATAAAAATAAATAAACAAATAAAAATAATTATAAAAAAATATATACGTCAAAATAATAAAAATAAAAATAATTCATAATTAATTAACTAAAAAAGATTACTTAAAAATAAAAATAAAAATAAAATTTACCCACCTCTCTCCACTAACATCTCATCCCAACTTTATTCTCCTTCCACAACCCCACCATATCACCATTTCGTCCAAAAATAAATAAAAAAAAATGTTAGATTGTCAGATTTGGGAAAAAGTAAAATGGTGTTTCAACAAAATTATGATGCAGGAGAAATTTTGGTATATTATTACGTAAAATCCTATCTCAGATTTCCTTTTTCCTTATAATTATGGTTGTAAGAAATCAATTTAGGATCAAATCTTCTTTCATATTTTACTATAATAAGAGGGCATGAAACTCTATCAAATTTTATCTAACAAGAAATATCAGAATTTTAACCATGTAAATTAGAGAAATAATTTTATAGAGTTCAAACTTGAAAATGATGTCATGGGCTCACATAGGTTGACTTGAATTTCAAAGGACAGAATCGAACTTTCATTAAGGATATATACGTGCCAACGACTTAAGCTAATCAGGTAAATGGCTCACCAATCGTAGGTTACGCGTTAATTGTTGTTTGTTGGCACGTGCCCGTGGATTCGCACGTGTCATTAAATTGTATGCTAGTTGGTTGTGCTTAAGTACGTAATCATGTGAACATGAATGTATGCTATGTATGCTGCTTAGTTTGATGTGATATGTTATGCATGTGACGATATGTTATTCTTGAATGATTATGGCATGATTGTATGGAATATTTGAATGTAAACAGCATGAATTGTATGACATGAAATACGGTAAGCTGCATGGAAACATAACCTCGTTAGGAATATGTATAATACGTAAAGAAATGAAAATGAGAATGACATGTAAACATGAAACGTGACAGGGGTTATGTTCATTATGATAAATGTAGGACTAGTGGGGACCTTATGCATATTGTGTGTTCATGCATTTGGGGGGATTCCCCTATCCCATCACGAGGGTACAAACGCGTACATCCAATGGCAGGACAACGATCGTTATGCTTTGCATAGCGCTGCCGTGACAGTTACTAGTTTTAACGGGTTCCGGCATAAGGGGCTCCCAGAGTATGCCCACCAGATAAGGAAAGTGGCCCAGCGGTGTGTGAACTAGTTGGTGAGCCCATACTCGCACGTATCAGCTGTGTGTAGAGTATATGGTACACGTCCACGATTACCCGTTAGGATAGCAGTGTAGGAAAAACGAAACGAAACGATAGGTCCCATCATTTCATTGCATGTGATTGTTGCATAACCCTGATAGGGGGTCCCTTACTAAGTATTCTGGAAATACTCAAGCCTCGTGCTACTTTACTTTTTCAGATAAGGGCAAGGCACCTATGTGACATCGACGGCGGCATCGTACACCTTGGGACCGTGGTACATGCATAGGGTAGTTGTTTTTTTTTTTTTTTTTTTTTTTTTTTTTTTTTTTTTTTTTTTTTTTTTTTTTTTT